GGTTTAGCGTGCTCGATCTCAGCGTTGATCCAGAGCGCGCAGCCGTCAGTCTCTGACGGCGTCGTTGGCGCAAACATATAGTAGAATTGACCAGCCCCGGCTGCCTTGGATATCGGCATCCTCGTCTCTGTAGAACCTACCAAGAGAGTCGCATCTTGCAAATTTGGCCCCTGGTTGCTGAAACCTGGCCGCGGGTGGCCCCTGGTACGCACCTACCGCATATGTGCCCGTTTGTTCGCGCGCCTCGGGGTCCATTGTGAGGACGTTGGCGGCAGCCATCCAGATGAATACCCGGGCGTCCTGGATTGGCGTGGGCTCGGGCGGCTCAGGAAGACAATCCTGTAGTTTGACCACTGGGCGTCGTGCTTGGGGAATCGGCAGGCCGCGAGGCGGCGGATATGCGTTCCTCTCCTCGGGCGAAAGAATGGATAACCATGCGCATGGGAGCGCCTGCGTATGCCTAGGGGGCTCTGAAGATGTGCGCCAGCGTGTGCACGGCGTGTGCTCATGCGCGCCATGCGATGCAATGCGCGCAGCAGTGCCCGCCAGCTCATTCCACGGATGACTGGAATGTCCCCGTATGCGTGACCATTCGTATTTGTGTGGCACGCGCGCAAATATCCGTAGCATGCCGTCCAGTATTGTCTTAGAGACCTGCAGGATCCTTGTCGCGCCTCCAAGCTGTGCCACTCTGATGACATCCATGTTGTCATTGTAAAATTGTACATGTGTGTAGGTGACAACTTGGCTGCCCACTCTGCTGTTTTAAACTCGGCATGGGCAGGCAGCATCTCCTTGGGCAAGGACTGTGCAATGTCTGGTAGGTCTCCCGCCTGGAAACCCAAGAACCATTGGCCCTGTGCGTCGGAGGCGATGGCGCAGAAGCCCAAGCAGGTGGAGTAGGAGAAGTAGAACCATAGGTCTTCAGTCCCCCTGCAGACCCATTCGCAAAGATATCGAGACGGGTTGGGATGCGCTGGCCCCTGCCATCGGCCTTGGGGCCCAATTCAGCCAGACCCCGCATCGCGGCTGAATGCCAAAGCTGGGCAAACTGCAACGTGTCGTCACACAGCCTAAAGACCCCTAGAGTCCCAAGGTTGTCACAGGAGGTGAAACGTGGCAGAAAAACTGGAACGCGATTGTCAGAGATACCGCGCGCCCCAGTGGCATCTGCACTAGCGCGCGGCTGCGCGCGCCCCGCTGCGAATGAATACTCGATGGACTCTGACTGTCGGTCTTTGGTTGAATTCGGGATTGTTGGAGACTGCGCGCGGAAACGAGTCTCCTCTACAAACGAGTTGTTTAGCGAAAAACTGACCCATCACCAGCGACTGCAAGCTCGTCGTCGCTGTCTAGCTTGTTGGTGTCATTGCGTTGCTGCGCTTGCCGGGGGGCCCTGGCGAAAGCTACCGACGGCCTGCTCCTGTACTTGTCCTTGTCGATCTTGTGCGTGGCGCCTGGCGCGCCGCCCATGCCCGTTCCGCGCGCCACTGGGCTGTTGCCCTTGGCGCCGGGGGCGGCTCGACAGCGCGCGACGCCTCCGCTGCGGCGATTGCTCGCTCATCCTTTGCGATGTCAAGGGGGGTCGCTGCGCCCTCCGCTGCCGCGGCCTGCGATGGCGCAGGCCGTGCCGCACCTTGCAGATCCATGGTTCCCCTCTGCGGCGTTGCCGCCTCCGCCTTGGGCTCTTGCGCCGCCGGGGCTGGGCTGGCTGCCGGCGCTGGCGCCGCGACACCTTGCGCCTGCTGTAGTAGACCGGCCTGCGACGTGCTCTGCTGCGCCATGCTCATCTGCGACGAGAGCGCGGTGAGAGGCTCCATCGTGGTGTGGCTTTTGACCTGCGCGGCCGCACGGGCGGCTGGCGTCGGGACAGTGCTCGCTGCAGTCGGTGGCGCTCGCCGTGCTCGCGGGCGCATTGCGCGAGCCTGACTTTGTTGTCCTGGCCGATCTCCGTCATCGTGACACATAGGCTGGCCCTCGTCTCAGTGCTCCTCGGGGCCAGATCTGACTTGGGCGGCCAGATCATCGAAGTGTTTTGCAGGTCTTGCCCCGCCTCTTCCATCATTTTGACCGACTGCAGTTGACGCTCTTTCAAGCATTCTGCTGCACCAGCCTCGACCTCACGCGTTTCTTCCAGTCGTTTCTTGGCGCGCTCAACGTACATGGACTGCTGCCTTGCCCGTTCTTCTGGGGATCTGGCATCCATGATGTGGTGCAACGTGACTTTGTAGCCCTCCTCCAGGGACTTGATGCGCTCTCCTGTGTACCCCAAGTTGGAGGCCACTTTGATGTGCTTCTCGATGGCATCGAGCTGCATCTTCATTTGGTCCCGATGCTTTGGGAGGTCCCTGCCATCTCTCGGAAGTGGGACCCATAGGCAGTGACGTTCAGCAACATGCGGGGGTGCAGGTGCAAGCACCATTTGCTTCAAATCCTCCGGCCAATCCGATAGTGGGCGACTGTCGTACTGTCTGCTGCAGGCAGGCGCGGTCGAACGAGCCCTCCGACCCTTCTGTGCAGACTGGGTATTCCACTCTTGCGTTGATCGCTGGCTGTGCTGCCGTGGCTGCCTGAGACGCGATGGCGTCCTTCACGGGTGCGTACTTGATTCATCATCTTCTTCCTCGTTTTGACTGGCCTGCTCGCTGCCGCTCTTCTCAGGACAGAAACAACAACTTCGGGCATTGGGAGGATTGAGCCTCTGACATGTGCTGCATGCCCAGAATCTCGATGTTGCTCGTCAACGGTGGCATATGTATGACTGCTTTGCCTGAGCTGTGGCGCGTTTGAAGCTTATCTACTGCTGCTGACAAGCGTACACATGCTCTGTCTTGTGCTCGCTGTGCTCTCAGTCTCCTGTGCCAGGCTGGATCTTGGGACGAAATGCTGACAAACTTGGTCGTGGTCGCTTCGCCCTCCGGGCAAGAATGTACAGAAAATGTGGCGACGCACTTGACGCCGTGTCCAGTATGGGGAAAGTGGCCCCTCAGGTCTTGCGAAGCCTGACCCAGGACGGCCTTGACGAGGACGAGGAGGAAAGAGGGAGGTAAGGAGCATATTGCTTATACGACATAGGGATATTTGGAAGGCATCGATGGTTTCGTAAGCATGTGGTCGCCAGATTTTCTTTACGCCCTCGTCGCCATCGTCGTCGTCGGCGGTCGTCGTCGTCGTTTCTCGTCGTTCGTGTTCGTCGTCGTCGTTGTCGTCGCTCGTTGTCGCTCGCCGTCGTTGAACGCCCTCGAAGGCCTTCGAGGGCCTCTAGAGCTTCTGTCCTGGAGGGCTCCGGAGACTTCAGGAGACATCTGGATGCCTCCGGGCGTCGTCGCTGTCGTCGTCGTCGTCCTCGTTTTCCTCGTCGCTCGTCGCTCGTCGTCGTCGTCGTGCGCGCGGACGTTGCGGTGGTGCCGGAACCACGCTGCGGGGGAGCGTTACGGGGTGCCCCTTCCGCCCCCCATCCCCGCCCCATAACGCCCGCCGCCGCTGCGAATCACAAACAAACAAACGCACACAAACAAACAACAACAACAACAAACAAACACACATAACGCCCGTCATCCCTCGAGGCAATTCAGAGGCTTCTCAACGGCTTCCCCAGAAACGTCTCCGTGGCCTTTCGGCGGCCTCGCGGAAGCCTCTCGGACGTCTCTCGGGAACCTCCCGGAATACAAGCGGAAGTTTCTCTACATATTTTCGGAAGGTTGTCGGAAGCTTGCATGATCATCGCAAGCTAATATGGGGTTTCTCTAACGTTTCTCGAAGTCTTCTCGGAATCTTTGGATAGGCCTCTCCAGCGTTTCTCGAAGTCTTCTCGGAGTCTTTGAAGCGGCCTGACGGAAGCCTGTCTCGGAGGGCACCAATTATACATCTACACCGATCCAGGCTAGGCCGATCCTGGACCCTAGATCGGTGTATCTGCCCTCCTGCCCAAGCCATGAGGGCGTATACGCCGATCTTGGGTCCAGGATGAGGCTGGCCAGCATCGGTGCATAGTTGTTGCCCGCCTGCTGTCCATAGCCTGTCGGAAGCCTCTCGGAAGCCGGTCAGAAACGTGTCCGAAGTCTGTTGGAAGCCTTTCGGAAGTCATTTCGGAAGCATGTCGGATGCTTGTCGGAAACCTCTCGCTAGCCTCTCGGTAGCCTCTCGGAAATACTGCAGGATCTCGCAAAGATCTCCTAAGGATCTCTGACGAATGTTCATTTGATCTCCGAAGGCTATCATAAGGATCTTCCAATAATCTGTTCTGGACATCGTTCGGATCTCTTTCGGATGTCCTAAGTGCCTCTTAAGGATAGTATGAGTATAGTTGAAGGATCTTGGGATCTCTCAGATCAGAGCTCTTCAGATTAGTTGGGATTCGAGCTCCAGGTGGCCGCATGGAAATGGGGGGAGAGATTCGAGTGGAAAAGCGCTTCCAGGGACCACCCTGGGAGGATCACCCCAGGACTCCACTTCCATAGACGCGGAGAGGACCGGTTGATTCTGCCCGACCTATATAGTGTTTCTCCCTAGTTGTTAATTACCCTGTCCCTTCCCCTCCGGTTGACAGTGGCCGCCGAAGGCCTTTGTGTTGCAGATGCTGCTGCGTCCCTGACCTTAATCTTCTCTTGCCCGCTCTTGCCCTTCCTCTCCCCTCCGTGATGGCACGTATCCACTGCCGCATTGCCGAGACGGTTATTGAGCCGCAGCGTGGTCCTCAGAAGGCAGACGGGGACATTGGTACAGCCGTTGGAAGCGTTCGTCAAGCCCTCGCTGCTGGAGGGTTCCCCACCCTGTGCAGGACCTTGAAATGAGCGAAATGAATGGTAGTGGAGATGTCGGCGTGTCCTCCTTCTTACTTTCATCAAATTGGCTGACCATCGGTCTCCAGATCACGTCCATGTTTCATACTGAACAGATTTTCGAGTCGCGTTCAGCCGGGGCTATGATGGGCTTCCGGGAGGCCAGACAAGGAGGAGGATCTTTGCCGTCGCCGTCGCTATTGTCATCACTGTTGCGCCAGCGGGCCCGAGCCGAGCGGAGTTGCCAGGTCTGCGCGTTGACGCTCGCGGGCGGTCGCATCCACGGGGCGACGCCGAGGGAGGAATGGCGCTCTGCACACGGTACTGCCTGGCCTTTGCGCAGGGGGCTCTGTGGCTCCTGCTCTCGCTCCTCGACCTGGTGCTGCTGCCGCTCTTCGGCTCCAGGAGGTGCCTCCGGAGGGCGCTCGGCAGGCCCGCCGCCGCTGCGCGGGACTCCGAGGGCAGGCAGCCAGCGGCCGTGTATGGGGCCTCCGCCAGCGCGGGGGAGACGTCCCCAGAGGCGGCGTTGTCGGGCGGAGGGCCCCTCGTCGTCGTCATCGTGGGCGCCAGCTGGGGGGGGCTCGCGGCCTGTCACCAGCTCGCGGACGACCAACGGTTCCGCGTTGTGCTCATTGACAGGCGGGAGTTCTTTGAGTACACCCCGGGCATTCTGCGGCTCTTCTGCCAGCCTGGCCTTCACAGCTCCATGGCGCTAAAATTGCCGAAGGGCTCCCACAAATTTGTGCTCGGGCAGGTCAGGGGTCATTCCGATTCCGCCGGTTCGATTCGAATCGATTTCCGCGATTCCGATTTCGAACCGACTCGATTCCGGGATTCCGATTCTCGATTTCGATTTCGAGTTCGCCCGATCCGGTTTCTGCCGATTCGATGCGTCAGCCGATTCCTGCCGGCTTTTGCCGTTCCGGCTTCGCTCCGGCTCTGGCTCCCAAGGGGAGGAGGAGGAGGAGGGAGGAGGAACCCCCGGGGGGGAGTCAAAACCCCCTCCCCCCCCCCCAGGGGGGGGGTCCGAAAGCCCCAGGACCCCAAACCCCCCCCAGAGGGGGGGGTCGAAAAGCCCCGGGACCCCAACCGCCCCCCAGGGGGGGGGTCCAAAAACCCAAACCCTCCCCAGGGAGGGGGTCCAAAAACCCATACCCCCCCCAGGGGGGGGTTCCAACCCCCCCCCCCCCCCAGGGGGGGTTCCAAACCCTCTCCCCCAGGAGGGGGGGGCCAACCCCCCCTCCCCCCCAGGGAGGGGGTCCAAAACCCCCCCCCCCCAGGGGGGGGTTCTGATTTCGATTCCGATCCGGCTTGACGCGGTCCGGTTTCCGATTTGATCCGGCTCGGACCTGCCGACTTCAGCCGATTTCCATTTGGCTGCCGGTTTTTGCCGATTTCTGCCGATTCGATGCTCCGGTCGATCCGATCCGGCTTGTCGATTCGATGCTGGGGCCGCCTGGCAGGTGACCAGTACGAGTCATGACCACGTGGTTCTCGGCGACTCGACGAGGATCGATTTCGACTATCTCATCTTGGCAACTGGTGCGGACTACCGGCAGCCTATCACACCGTCTTCGAACGACGTTACGTTGGCCTCCCGCGCGGCCACCTGGCATGAGGAGGCCGCCAAGGTGCGAACTGCGAGGAGCGTGCTAGTCCTGGGTGGCGGCGCGGTGGGCACGGAGCTTGCGGCAGAGATCGTCTGCCATTTTCCAGAGAAGCGGGTGACAATCTAGTTGCTTATGGCAAGTTCCGCCTTCGTGCCAGTGCCAGTGCAGCTTTCTGTGCGGCGACCCGTCGAGAACCGTTTAGATCCTTGCAGCAAGTTAGCACTTGTGTTGACTCTGAGGCTCTTGAGGCACGCACATAACATGCCACTCGCTCTTCCGCAGACTCGACGAGGTCGTATCATCAGGACCCTGAGAGCCGTAACATGTGACGCCTCGATTAGCTAGGTCGGCGTGGTTAGTAGCATTTCAATGTTCGACTCACTTGCTAGCGGAAAGGAGGCGCCCTCTAACACGTTGGGTGAGGAGGAGGAGGGGATGGGGGAGAGAGGGTGAGGGCAGGGAGAAGGCTTTGCTTCGCTTCATGGGGCCTCTTTGGGTGCCCTGGGGCCTCTTGCGGATATATCTGGATATCGGCGGGCGCTTTGGGGGCCTTGGGGCCCGGAGAATCCCCTGAGGCCTTGTGGCGTGTTCGGGAAGCTTTCTTGTGCCGTGGAATGCGTCAAACATGTTTCTCCGCACAGTGCTTAATGCTAGGTTTCTGATTTGTGCCGCGAGAGACGTTCGATGGGTGTGTCGGGATTCCGCTTGGGGGGCGTTCGTTGGCTCCTCGTGGGCGCCTCGTGGGCGCCACGGCGCCCCGTTTCCTGGTTGGGTGTGGCGGGGTTTCTCCTGGTGGGCGGAGTTGGTGCATCGTTGGCGCCCTGCGCGCTGGCTGGTTGTGGCGAGGTTTTGCTTGCTGAGTGGCCGTTGGCCCCTCGTGGGCGCTCCGTGCCCTGCACAGTTCATTACACTTTGCTTACACCTCGAAGCTTGCACCACATAGCTTTCACCGCATAAGCTTCCACCACATATCCGCACACGTCTTGCAGAACACAGCCTGCACCAATCATAGCATCTGCATCGCATTACGTACACCAAAAGCACCACATATCACATATAAATGTATATGCTTTGATCTCAAGATCTGGAAGCGAGGAAGGAGCAAGCAGGCGGCCGCACCGCTCCGCGGCCAACGTGCTCAAGATTCTGAGGCCCCACGGCTGTCTGCGCCGGGCCCGCATGGATCGGCGGCCTGGCTGCTGCCGAAGGCTGCCAGGGGGGTCGCCGCGGGCGCGGCGGCTTGGGGCGCGGCCAGGGGTGCGCAGTGCCCCACTGCGCCGCCCTTTCCGGCTTGCACCTGCCAGTGCGAGCCGCGGCTGGATTGCCCCGGGGGCAGCCAAACCGAGGCGGCCGCGCCAGGCACAGGGGATGCCGCCTTCGCCTGGCTCGGCAGCCTGGCAGTGGCGGTTGTGGGGACTTGGGCGCGTTCGCGGAACAGCGCCGAGGCGGAGGCCCCGCCCGCGGCCGTTGCGGCCCCGCGGGGCTTGCCCGCGCTGCCCGCAGCGGCCGCCTCGTCCTCGCTGTCTGACGCTGCGGCGGCCCAGGTGGCGGCCCCGCGCACCTCCCAAACCCAGCTGACGCGCTGAGCATGGCGGCTGCGGGGGCTCACCCGCGGGTGGCGGCTGGGCCGCAGGAGTGGGACTTCGTTCTCGTGGAGTACACGGGGCTCCCCAGCGTGCCGCACGAACGCCTTATCATCCTGATTCCAGATGGCGGGGACCAGGTGTGCACGCTGACCCCGGATGACGACAGTTACGAGGAGGATCTCTGCGCGGTCGCGGAGGTGCAGCGTTGGCTGCCCAGGGCCGCGGGCCGCATGGGCGCGTACTCGACGGCGGCCGCGGGCGTGTGCGTGCACGGTTTCAGGGGCGTTCCCGCGCCGATGCGTTCGCGCAAGTGCTGACGGCAGCTGCATGGCGGCTGGACGTGGGCCTCGCGGAGGGGGCCTCGGTCATCCCTAACCTTGGTGGCGCATGCGGTGGCGCGCGGCCCCGCCCTGGCGCAGTTGCGGGGGCGCCCCCTGGAGCGGCGGCGGCAGCCGCAACCCCTGCCGCGCCCCCGGCAGCACCGCCGCCCGCAGGGCTGCTGGTGGCTGCGCCGCCCCCGCCAGCCGCCGCCGCGGCCGCCCCTGGGGCGATCGGCGGGGTGGCGGGTCTTGCGGCGGCCCAGGCGCCCCCGCCTGCGGGCGCCGCCTGCGGGCGGCGCCTGCGGGCGCTGCGGCGGCGGCAGTTCCCGCCGTTCCCCCCCCCGCCCTTGATCGGGGCCGCGCCCGCGGCCGCGGCGGCCCCTGCTGCGGCGGTCCTTGGGGCGGCTGCGGCGCCCCGTGACGCGCAGATCCAGGCTGCCGCCTTCGACCTCCAGGGCCAGGGGCACATGGGCTACCGCGCGGCTGCGATGGCCATGACGGAGGGGAGCTTTCCTGACCGGCGAGGGGCCCGAGGACAGCGCTGCGGCGCTTCAAGTTTATGGAGGCGCACGGCGGCACTCCCACAGGCCGCTCGCGCTGGCTCTCGGAAACCAGGCTGCAGGGGCATTAGCCAAGCGTCGACGAGCGTGAGAGGGCCTGCAAGACTCTGGAGGGGGTGGTGGTCTATGACCAGTTGAACGCGGACAATCTCGTCTCGGGCGAGATGCTGGCACGAGCGGCGCAGCTCCAGGAGGAGCGGTACCGCGACCGCGTGGCGCCGGCATGGTGGATCCCTCGGGCGTAGAATCGCACGCACTGCACGGACACGAGCTTGCCAGGAACATTTGGCCACGGCCATGAGTTCCGAGAGAACGCGTGACATTGGCCATGAAATCGCCAGAAAACAAATGGCACGGACACGAGTTTACCGGGAACACATGGCAACGACCATGGGTTCTGAGGGAACACGTGGCATTGGCCATGCAATTCCCAGAAGCCACATGGCACGGACGCGAGGAGGTCGGGGGCGCCTGGCACTGACCAGGAGCTCCGCGAGAACGCGTGCCACGGATCCAGGAATCCCCCATTGCACCCCGGAGTCAGAATCAAAAACAATATCAAAATCCCCGTGGGAGCGCGGGCATGGGTTTGCGACAACACATGGCCAGGTCACGCGGTTCACCGACGCGCGTGCGCATTTTTCAGATTTCCCTCCTTCCCCGCCCCCATCCCGCCTTCCCCTTCTGCCCCCCTCTCCCTCCTGTCGCTCCACCCCGCTCCCAGGCTGCCTCCTCGTTCCCGTGGCCCTGGGGCGGTTCGTTGCCCATGGCGTGCGGCCCGTTGCTCATGGCCCGTGGCCCGCGGCCCATGGGCTGTTGCCCGTGTTTCGTGCCCCGTTGCCCAGTGGCCGCGGCCCGTGGCCCGCACCTTGTCGCCAGCGCCTGGGCCGTTGAGCCCAGTGGGTACCCCGCGGCAGGTATCTGGCAACGCACGTCGTCATGGCTACGAGACGCTCGTTGATCGACCTATGCGCGCGCGTGTTGAATTCCGTTCGTAGCGACTGGCCTCTGGTTGTGTTGCGATTGGCGTGCGTTCGCGTTGCCTGCGACTGGGCCGCAATATGGCTGGTTGGCCTTGGGTCTGAACCGGTGATTCTGGCGGTCAGCGGGCTTCTCTGATATCGGATTGCGCTCGCGCGTGCGAAGCCCCCTGCGACCTGTTCGCAGCACTTGCCTCGAGCATAATACATTCCCCCCTCTTCGTCACCCTCGTCTTTGTCGCTCCTATATAATCCCGGGCCCCCCGATCCAAGGTGCCGGGAGGCCCCGACAGGTCCCCGAGCAGCCCCGAAGGAACCCCAACGAGGCTTCCCATGAGGCCGCGCACCTGCCTCCGGGAGGGCCCCGGGAGGCCCCGCCCGAGATCCCATCGACCCAGGAGGCCTCGCGATGCCCGCGGCCCAGGCACAGCGGCAGGATGGGCCGAATGTCGCGTCGTATCATTCATTCACTCTCTCGTTCTTTTTGTTGTTATACGTATATCGGTTTCCCTCTCGTTCTCTCTCTCTCTCTCATTTTTTTCTCTCCCTCTCTCTCTCTCTCCTTGTTTTCTTTCTCTCCCTCTCTCTCTCCCCCTTCCTTTGCATGCTGGCGCGCAATCGCCTTCGCCCCGGGGGCGTAGCCGTGGAGCCGGCCAGAACCTCCTCCCTCTCCTTTTCCTCCTCCTCCCCCCTCTCCCCCTCCCCCCCCCACTTCCTCCTCTTCTTCCTCCTCCTCCTCCTCTTCCCCCTCCTCTCGAGGAATTCGTGAGCAAGCACGACATCCCCGACGTAGTACAGATACATCGCGCAAAAGTTTTGCATTGGGCCGCACTCGTGTCAAGCCACCCGCAGAAACGATGGACACACCGTGTGTTTAATTGCAGCCCCAGCCTCGATGCAAAACAACAAGGCCACCGGCAGCACGGAGGCCAAATGAACATATGGCACGACGACGTG